GCCGCGCACGCATTCAAACAGCCCATATGAAAGCATTACTCAATGCTTTCCTATGGACGTCCAGCGTCTTCTCACTGTGATTTTCACAGTGAGAATCGTGAAAGCGCCTCTGTGAGACAGCCACTAGAGGCCGGATTAACCCTCAGTGAGACATATCAGTTTCTCTGAAACTGCTATGTTTTCAGCTGCAGGGTTAAAACTAGAGGGACTATGCACCCAGACCACTTCATTGAGCTGAAGTGGTCTGGGTGCCTATAGTGGTCCTTTCATTTTGCGCATATGTATTCTTGAGTTATGTGTGTTCGGGGAAGGTTTACTGTCGCCCCCTATTATTAATGCTCCTTCTGCATTTCGGTTTACGATTGTCATTATGCACCTAAATGAGGCACATTGATTATAATTTGGGATAGATATTCACTAATATGACCAGAAAGGATCCTATCAAGCCTTTCAGAATAATAAATTGACCTGAGCCATCAGAGAAATGTTGTGTATGGGTGAAAGAGAGTTTGGAGCAAATTAAGATAGCTACTCCCCTAGACTTACCAGTGGCGGATCCGGGGGGGCAATTGGGCTCCCTCCTCCCCAAAATAGTTCAGCTGCCAGAGGTGGAACTACCTCATCAGGTGCCCGTTTGGGTGCTGCAGCCCCTTAAATTTTGCAGGGAGGTGCTTGGAGGAAGTGACTTCCTCACAGCTTACAGACCATGTGGGCTGGGTAAACCCAGGATGCAGCTGAGAGAGGAGGAGGAGGGGGGAGGAGAGAGAGACTCACATCAGGAACAGCCAGCCCCAGGACGTCACCTCCCTGCAACCAAAAGGTATGGAAGCAGGGGGCTGGTTAACATTATGTAAACTGCAATTTGTGTGTGCACCAGTGTGTATGTTTAAGTATGTGTCAGTGTATATCTGTGAGTATTTGTGTGTATCTGTGTGTGCCAGTGTGTATCTGTGATTATTTGTGTGTATCTGTGTGTGCCAGTTTGTGCCAGTGTGTATCTGTGATTATGTGTATCTGTGAATGTGTGTCAGTGTGTATCTGTGAGTATCTGTGAGTGTCAGTGTGTATCTGTGAGCATGTGTGTATCTGCAAATGTCAGTATCTATCTGTATGTCAGTGTGTATGTATCTTTAAGTATGTGTGTGTCAGTGTGTATCAGTGAGTATGTGTGTGTGTGTATCTGTGTGCCTGTGAATGTCAGTGTTTATCTATGTGTATCTGTGTGTGTACAGGGGAGGGCTGGGATGGGGGCAGGGAGGTAATTGCACCCCAGGCCACCCCAAAGCATGTTAAAAATCCATCTTGAATGCAGGGCAAAAGGGGCAGCTGCCCGGGCCCTGTTCTTCCTGTGGGGCCCAAGGCAGCTGCCTCTTGAGCCCCGCCGGCCGTGCCTGCAGAAATCTGATCCTTTACTATGCAATCGGACGGACTGGCTCCTCCTTCCGACCTCCCCGCGCCTGAAGCATACGTAAGCATGTACCATGATGTCATAGAGTTACGGCAACGCTAGAGTAACAGCGCATGTGCATAGCCTCCACCTGCACAACGCCGGAACAGAACACCCTCACACCCTTTCTTTGATGAGCATCCGATTCCCGATCCTTGAGAGAGCACCTGCCAGCTGGTATCTTCAGAAGTGTAAGTGTTTTTATTTTTTTAAATTGACTGTATGAGTTATTACATTTTTAAGGGGAGGGGGTGGGGGCAGTACAATAAATGCAATGAGTTCATGTATAAAAAAATAAAATAAAAGTCTAAAACAGTGGTAAATGAAGTTTACAAATAAAATTTCTTGAGTATATATGGTAGTCTGTTTGCATGTGCATGATGAAGTTTTACGTTTGTTAAGATTCATGATGGATTATCAAGGAGTGTGCATACTTGATATTCCATAGTGATCAGTTTTACTTTTTTAAGATATATTTTTACGTATTTGAAATCTCATAAAATCTTACATGTAAGGCAAGTATGAATTATATATAATTTGTTTGCATGAGGGTTGTTTTTTTATTTTTATTATTGTTACCATGCATGGAGTTTACGGAGTTTCTTGGTTACATGTAGAATTTTTGGGGGGAGATTAAAGTAGATTGACAAAAAAAAAATGTTTTAGGCTGGTGGTATTCCTGTTGATGAGGTTTCTGTCGGCCCAAGTGCTCCTTCAAGCATGCCAGTTGTGTCCATCGAAGATGAGGTGAGCCCACAAGCAGAAGAACGGGTGATTGAGGAGGAGCAAAGAGCAAGCACATATGAATGACCCAGATGTTTTTGAAGACCTTCCTGAATTAGAATGTATCACATCTGAAGACATGTCAGGAAGTGTTATAAGTGATTCATCAGAAATATCTTTTAGTCTTCCTCCTGCATGTTCCATAGCAGAAAAAAATTATTTTGTTGAAAAACACCCTTTTCAGCCAACTAGGACTGAATGCACAGATCTTCCTTTTCAAGAAGCAGACTTTTATTACCGCAAAAAGTCTAATGGGGATTGTATTAAGCGTTCATGGCTGAGTTGTAAGATAAAGGATCAAAAGTTAGAAGCATTTTTTTTGCAGCATATGCATTGCCTCTTCTAATTCCTCTTACTCGTTCACTCAAGGTTGTTCTAATTTTCAACATTGCTATCAGGCAGAAAATAAGCACGAATCTTCAAAAACTCATTGTGAAGCTGTTCATACTTATTTTACCATGAAAACAAATAGAAGCATTGACACATTAATAAATCAGGCTCAAGTCTCCAGAAGAAAGAAGGAGATACTTCTAAATATTGAGGTATTAAACCATATATTTGATATTGTAAAACTGCTCGGTAAAAAGGGATTGCCATTTCGTGCCCATGGCACTAATGAATCGCTGTACAATTAAAATAACATTGAAATAAACCATGGGAACTTTCTGGAAATTGTCCTACTTCTATCACAGTATGATGTTCCTCTTAAAAATGACCTTGATATAAGTGTTCAGGACAGTGAAAAAAGAAAACAGCGATTGAAAGACAGAAAAACACCAGGAAAACATTTCAATAGACATGGATCTCTTGTGACATTTTTTTTTTCAATAATTCAATAAAGAAAGTATTTGCAGCAATAGTTCGAAGCATGAAAAACTTAATTGTGTCTGAAATCGGAGAGAAACAATTCAGTATACAGATTGACTCCACACAAGATGTTGGAATTGTAGATCAAGCAACAGTGGTTGCGAGATATGTGCAAGAAGAAGCCATTAAAGAATGACTTGTGGCTATTCTCCCTGTTAAAGATGCTACAGGAAAAGGATTTCATGAACTTCTAATGTCATGTTTTGATGTACTTGGATTAGATTTCCCAAAAATTGCCGGTGAATCATTTGATGGTGCAGCAAATATGAGGAGTGCATATGTGGGACTACGTGCACAAATCGCGAAGGTAGTTTATATTTGGTGCTATAGTCATATCCTTAACCTGTGTGTCTCAGATTGCTGTCAAGTAATGGAAGCAAAACATTTTTTGGGTCTACTAAATCGCTTGGAAACCTTAATTGGAGACTCCCACAAAAGAATGAATATCTGGAAAGACCAACTGGATAGAAGACATGGACAGAAAAAACTTTTAAAGTTACAAAAAATTGGAGAGACAAGATGGTGGGAAAAAGAAAAGGCCCTTAACTGGATTTTTGGTGAGAAACACTGTGACGAGACCAATCTCGCCACATTGCATTGGAGAAGCCTGGTTGCTCGCCTGTTGCCTTTGGATTATGGCCCCATGTTAAAGGGCTTGATTTTCCCCTGCAAAGACATGAAAGCCGGGTCATTTGGTGCTTGCCCTGTTTGAGCGGTGATACCCTAGATAGCTATGCCATGGAGCCTATTCGTAAAATGAAAGACTATGGGAAAGACTTTGGCTCCATGGCAATTGATCTGTATGTGTGTGCTCTGAGCGCCATTCAGTAATAATGTGCGCTCAGATCTGAGCTATCTGGGGATATGTTGAATGTACCTGATTTGTGCAATGGCTGCACAGTTATATATTTTTATGTGTTTTATTGTCTTTTGCTGCCATGTGTTCAATGGAGTTTTGCCTCTGTCCTTGGAGATAATTGGATTACTTCCCAATTATCTCCAGGATAAAAGACTCTGTGAACTGGTCTTGGGCAGAAAAGCCATGCTTCCTTTGGTCACAAAGGATTACGATCTATCTTTTGAACCACTGGACCAATTTGTATGATTTTGACGTATGTTTATATTTGGAGTATGCTGATTCTGAAGTTATATAAATGTAAGTTATATGTGAACGTGATGCATACTTTTCAAGTTATGAATAATGTGGAAAAATTGTATTTCTCTGCTTGTTATAATTACATTACCCATTGTGCAAGGTAAATGAATCACAGGCAGAGGGGAGGATTTTGTGTGGGAGTGTCTGAGTGTATTGTATGTGTTTATTGGTTGTGTTCCAAAACCCTGTGGGTGGTACTAATGTGTATATAAGAACAATAAACCCACAGCTCTGTCTGACCACTGCTTGACCCTCAACACGGAGCTTTGTCTCGTTCTTTGGGGGATTTACTGTATGCTGTTCCAGTTTGACTGCTAGGAGTGAAAACCTATTCGGATGGTTTTTCCTATTCGACTGTTTACGGCGTTCATATGGTTTCCTGTTCGGCGGCTTGGTGTTCTGCAGTAGCTGTGCCTGTGTCTCTGGAAGGGAAGATCTACTAAACGGCTTTTAACCTTTTTTATGCCGCGGTGCCGTTACAATTGATGACAAGTGGCGGGATCGTTCCTACAGCCAGAAGGACAGCTACAGGAGACACCATTTCTTTGGATTTTACAATTTGAGGGCAACGCATGTGCCAGTACAGCAACCCTGACAGCACCAGGATGGAACCAGCAGTGGAGTACGATGAGGGTGTCATGGATGACCGAGATGTGTTTCGCAAAGGCATCTGGTACCAGGCACTGGGTATTGTGGAGTACCAGCGGGGCGAGAGACTCCCCAAGGAAGACCAGCGATTGCAGAAGCGACTAGCCCTGCGGATGCCCTTCCTGGGAGAGCAGCCCCTGGATGAATGGGTGAAGGAATTGGAGCTCCGGGTATGGCAGGAGATGTGGCTGGAAGATGCCTACCAGGCGCTCTGGTGGTATGGGGCACAGTACCTGCCCTGGACAGCTGAGCATGACAAGCCAGAGGGAGAGGAGTTTGATGGTCCTGGTTTGTTATGGGAGGCTTTTTCAGAGCCTGAGTTTGGGAGCTCTACACAAACTTGGTTCAGTGATCTCTTGGAGTGGAGGGAGAGCAGGTATGACTGGGATGACACTCATGAGACTGAGCAAGACCTGGTCCACCTAGTGACCCGAGAGATGGAGATGGAGCTGGAGCAGGGCTACCAAGATCTGTTCCACTCCAGTGAGAAGGCTCAGCAGGGAAGCGGAGACCCAGATCCAGACCCATTCAGCTGGGCAGATATTGCAGAATGTTACTGGGAAGAACCCCAGGCGGCTGGTGGAGATGCGACCGAGGTCTCTCCACCAGTCCTGCAGGGAATTGGGAGCCCAGTCTCCATTCCCCAGCGGGAGATATTGCAGGGAATTGGGAGCCCAAGCTCCATTCCCCAGCGGTAGGCTGAGTTACAGGGGACAGAGATAGTTGGTCCTGTCCCCCAGCGGCAGTGTACCTTGCAGGGAGAGGAGAGCAGCGTCCTCCCTCCCCAGTGGCAGGGTGAGCTACAGGGATGCTGGGCAGTCGGCTCAGATCCCCAGCGGCAGTGTGAATTACAGGGAATTGGGAGCCCAGTCTCCATTCCCCAGCGGCAGTATGAGTCATTGGGAATTGGGAGCCCAGTCTCCATTCCCCAGCGGGAGATACAGCAGGGAATTTGGAGCCCAGTCTCCATTCCCCAGCAGCAGATACAGCAGGGAATAGAGAGCCCAGTCTCCATTCCCCAGCGGCAGAGTGTCCTACAGGGAATAGAGAGCCCAATCTCCTTTCCCCAGCAGCAGGACTCTGTATTGGCAACAGAGACAGTCGGTCTCCCTCCCCGCGGCTGGAAGTATATATGGGAGAGGAGCTTGTTACCCCCTCTCCCCAGTGGCAGCTTAACGTACCGGGGGGGGACAGTAAACCCCACAACCGTGCAGATGGGACCGTGGTCTCTGCACTTACAGCACAGGGGGTAGGGATGGTTGGTTCTGCCCCCCAGCGACAGGGCTGTTTAGCCAAAGGGGAGACAGTCGGTCTCCCCCTCCAGCAACCGAGCGGTGTAACCAAAGGGGAGACAGTCGGTCTCCCCCTCCAACAACCAGGCTTCAACCAGGCTACTCCCGTGGTAACGCTGGCACCAGGGCAGAGTACCGCTGGTCTCTGCCCACTCAGCAACCCACCAAGTCAGCTTACCAGTCACCTACACAGCCGTGGTGAGGCACCTGAACATGGACAAAGTTCTCCTCTACCCAGGTGTAGTAACCATTTATTGTGGGTGGGCTGTATTACTGTTTGTGTGTTGTGGGTGGGCTGCTGGACTAACAAGGGCACTGACTGGCAGGAGATCAGGTACCCTGTTAGTCTGTTTGGAAAAGGGGAGAGATGTGACGAGACCAATCTCGACACATTGCATTGGAGAAGCCTGGTTGCTCGCCTGTTGCCGTTGGATTATGGCCCCATGTTAAAAGGCTTGATTTTCCCCTGCAAAGACATGAAAGCCGGGTCATTTGGTGCTTGCCCTGTTTGAGCGGTGATACCCCAGATAGCTATGCCATGGAGCCTATTCGTAAAATGAAAGACTATGGGAAAGACTTTGGCTCCATGGCAATTGATCTGTATGTGTGTGCTCTGAGCGCCATTCAGTAATAATGTGCGCTCAGATCTGAGCTATCTGGGGATATGTTGAATGTATCTGTTTTGTGCAATGGCTGCACAGTTATATGTTTTTATGTGTTTTATTGTCTTTTGCTGCCATGTGTTCAATGGAGTTTTGCCTCTGTCCTTGGAGATAATTGGATTACTTCCCAATTATCTCCAGGATAGAAGACTCTGTGGAACTGGTTTTGGGCAGAAAAGCCATGCTTCCTTTGGTCACAAAGGACTACAATCTATCTTTTGAACCACTGGACCAATTTGTATGATTTTGACGTATGTTTATATTTGGAGTATGCTGATTCTGAAGTTATATAAATGTAAGTTATATGTGAACGTGATGCATACTTTTCAAGTTATGAATAATGTGGAAAAATTGTATTTCTCTGCTTGTTATAATTCCATTACCCATTGTGTAAGGTAATTGAATCACAGGCAGAGGGGAGGATTTTGTGTGGGAGTGTCTGAGTGTATTGTATGTGTTTATTGGTTGTGTTCCAAAACCCTGTGGGTGGTACTAATGTGTATATAAGAACAATAAACCCACAGCTCTGTCTGACCACTGCTTGACCCTCAACACGGAGCTTTGTCTTGTTCTTGGGGGGATTTACTGTATGCTGTTCCAGTTTGACTGCTAGGAGTGTAAACCTATTCGGATGGTTTTTCCTATTCGACTGTTTACGACATTCATATGTTTTCCTGTTCGGCGGATTGGTGTTCTGCAGTAGCTGTGCCTGTGTCTCTGGAAGGGAAGATCTACTAAATGGCGGTTTAACCCTTTTATGCTGAGGGTGCCGTTACAAACACTCTATTTATTTAGACATCCTTGAAGTTTTATATGTAATTTCCCAGAGCAACTTGTTTGAATCGAAAACCACTTCTGAGGCCTCATCCCTTTTTCACAATCTTTGTCAGTTTAGGATTACTTTAACAGCAAAATATTTTTACAGGTTTTTGAAGTTATAGGGCCAGTGCCAAAATATCTACAAATCAGTGGCCTTAACTTCAAATAGTCGAACATGCAGTTGAGCAACTGAAAAAATGTATTTCAACTATATAAAACAAAAGGCTGAACACTTTGCAATAAAAACAAAATGAGTTGATGGATGGAAGTGATGTTCTCAACTCCTTGGAAGTCAAGACTATGCTTTCAGGGTTCTTACCTGAGATTGGAGTCTGTAGCGCAGATATGTTTGCTTACCCTTGCAGATAGTCAAAGTCCAAGGTTACCAGATAAGAAACCACCTGGACTGTGAATCTGTGCACGGGGCTGTGCAGGAAAGGTGATTCCAATGCAGTACCGACAAGGACACAAACAGCAGGATAGTCAAGGGATAGCCAAAGTCAAAGGATGCCAGAGGACAGAATTAACAAAGTTTAGCCAAAGTCATGGAATGTCAGAGATCAGGATAAATGAAGACAGAAGCCGGGGTCAATTTGGAATATAACTTCAAGAGACTGGAACACAGGAACTGAACATACAACAGGATCAAAGACTTGATAAAGTTCCCAAGGTGAGACTGTGTTTATATACCCTGCTGATGACTGATCTGAGTCAGGTGAAGCATTTGCAATGACCACAGACAAAGTCCAGCCCCCAGTGCTGCAGACATAGCCAGGAATAATGGGGCTAGAACAGCTTGAAATAAACAGAACTGCTGTGGCTCAAAGGCAGTTAGCAGTCCCTTTCCCATGTCGGGCACCAATGGGGCGGCCACGCCTGGATGTCTGCATTGCACAGTGAGAACCCTGACATATGCTTCCAATCTTCACATGATGAACGACCTGAAGATGAAATGCAATGTTTTCGAGCTAGTGTGTTCAGACCAATTCTGGACCAAATCATACAGAGAGATTTTCAGAAAATAAGCAATTGGTCATGGATTCCCACTACTTGGATCCTCGCACTTTTCAGAAAATTAGGACAGATTCAAAAGTGCTAGATGGAGGGGCACTAGAGAGAATTTCTAAGTTAGCCAAAATAAATGAATGTTCTCTCAAAACTGAATTAATTAAGTTTTGCCAACTTATTTCCAAGTCTTACAGGATGTCTTCTGAAGATGAGACACAGAAAGTGGAAATAATTCTTGATGATGAGGAGGAGGAGATTAATGACTGGATTCCACCTACTGACAAACTAGTTGAGGTACAAAAGGAATCAAAGTGTGGTTCTTGCAAGCAGTGCTTTCTTTGCTGTCACAAGTTGTTGTTAAAATACAACCTTTATTCTGCAGCTTATGAAACTCTTTCTATCACCTATGAGTACATGTTGACCCTTTTCTTTTACACAGGTGTCATGTGAGAGAGTATTCAGCAAGCTAAAACTCATCAAGACCCGACTGCGAGCCACAATGGGACAAGAACTGAATGTGCCTTAATGCTCATGTCAGTGGAGAGAGATCTTCTGGAACTGGTTTCCAGATGTATTGGAAATTATTCGTCAAAGTTTTTCCTTGATGAGGTCTTTGCTAACCGTGTGATCAAATATTTAGTTTAAAAGTTTTATACAGACATTTCTTTCTCTGGCTGAGAAGGTTTATCCATATCCCTATATGTATCACATATTCTTTAAGTGTATTGTGTCCATACATTATTCATTTGTTAAAACTGTAAATTTTATTTTTTGTTAAACATCATTTGTTGCTATTACAATTAAATTATGTTAAACCACAATGTATCATATTTTTCCACATCTGGAGTCATTCCTGCAAATTCCCTGGGAGCTACATTTTTTCTGGGGAATTTAGTCCCTTGCCATTGTAGGAAATGATATATGAACTCATTAGCCAGAGATTCGCTAATTGAAGTCTACTCCGCATATCCTTCAGTGGGGATAATTCCACTCTACGCGCGCAATATCAGAGCTGGATTTTAGCTCTGAAAAGTGTGAGTAAGATCTACTTTATTATTTTATTTTCCTCACATTTATATACTGTACCATTGGAGTCCTGTCTTTTCTTTCTCCACATATGCTTCATCGAATCTCAAGCATACAACCATGAAAATTTGATCTCATCCTACACCTCAAGAATTTCCTTTTCATACGTGGGACTTACCATTACGCACTTTGATAATTTTTTGGACTATTGCTAATCATCTATGTCACATAATATTTTAATATTTTAATATATTAAAATTTTATTATTTTTTATTATATTTTATACTTTTGTGTATATATTTTAGGCGCACCCTTATTGTACTGTTTGTTTTATGAACTCATTAGTACCCGTTATGCTGGAAATGACCAAAATCTATAACATTTGCATCTCCACCTAGTAGGAACTTCTGAGGGTATAAAACAATTTTAAAAATAAAATATAAATAATATATATAGGCAAGGGTCATTTCAAACCATGAAACTGAAGTATAACTGGGTATCTGTACAGACGGCGTATAGGGATACCAATGACGCCAGTCAGAGGAGACGGTGCTAGTCCCAATGGGCATCCAACTCAAAATATAGAGGTGGAGGTGAGATGAATTTCACCAGCGTGAAAGTACTATAGTCTGTTCACGAATTTCCGCAAAGGGACAGTGGATGCAATCTAAAAGTGTAAAATTAATATTCTGGTCCCAGCAGCTGATCTTTACTAAGGTATGTGTTGAGTAGGCCATAGGGGAGACAAATCAATAGACATAGTGGCAAAGTGTTTTTTTTTCTCTTTTCAGTGTAGTGTTTCTATATACATGTCACTATAAAAAATCCCTGCTTTCGACATCTCATGAACATGAACGATATGGCTCATCCATCAAGGCACCATGCTACAAGAGCTGGAGGTTGAGTTTTGATACGTATAGAAGCCCGTAAATCTTTGGACCTGATTTAATGTGTGTAAGGGTTTATATCATTTTTTTTGGTTTAACCTCTTAAGGACACATGACATGTGTGACATGTCATGATTCCCTTTTATTCCAGAAGTTTGGTCCGTAAGAGGTTAAAAAGACCATCTTCATATCCAGAGTAGTATTAGGGATATGGTAAGTATACATTATTGGACTTGTAGAAGTGAGAATGCGTAGGGTATATCCTTGGTTAGGAGAGGTAATTCCACCATTTTTGTTAATGAGTGGGCCTATGACACGAGAGTCCCAATCGTAATATTGGTGGAACCGCAACATAGTGCCCTGTGTACAACACATTTATTTATAAAATATTTTACCAGGATGGATACATTGAGATTTCTCTCATTTTCAAGTATATCCTGTATATATACAGGCATATCCCGCTTTACACTGCCTGTATATATATATATATATATATATATATATATATATATATAAAAAACAAAAAAATACAGATAAGGTGCACTCTCAGCTCTTAACAAGTGCTCAATTTATTTTAAATGAAAATTACATGTGCAAAAAAAATTTCAGTGATCGACGTTTCGACCCCTATAGGGCCTTTTTCAAGATCAATTATACCATGTATCAAGTGAATATATATAGATAAATATTAATCCAAACTTACCAAAAGATGTGTGTGAGAGAGTCACTAGCCGTCCGAAACCCGGAAGTGAGACAGTGTAACCACGTGACCAACGTGATGACGTGTGAAACTACGACGTTGCTAAGCAACGAAACTAAACAAATCATGTACTTCCTATGTTGCCCGGCTATACCAGACCGCAATCCAGGCAAGAGTTTCAATATTTTTGCATCAAAGGGTGAGTGCCAAGTTCTCTTCTTTTTTATATATATATATATATATATATATATGTCACACAAATGAATACAATACAATCCTTGTATCAGCAGGTAAGACAATACAGTATATGAAGTCTCACTGAAACAGTGGGACTAGGGGTCTGGTAAAATCACAGAAAAGAAAAATCCAAAATATTCTAGTCTCACTCAAAGATAAATGTCTTGTAAGGTGCTTATTTTCTGTGTAGTTTCCTCAGTGCCTTTAGTGGTCCAACCGTTCCGCTTGTATGTAAAACAAAAGCGAGGAAAACTGCAGTATGTACAAGCCTATATGGATAAAATAAACAAATATGTACAGTCAACTCACATTTAAAAGAGCTATAGCCAGCTCTGGTGTGAAGAGCGTGCAGTGGTATAATCCCCGCTTTAAAGGATATGTGATGGGAGTCCTCCAGAGGGATAGCGTCCAACACTTAGGAGAGGGATATATATAAGACAACTAATAGTGCTCTCAGCAAGATAAAATATGCAGTGAACATAATTAAAAATGTA